AATCCATACCAAAATAAATAACCACAAGATCCGTGCAGAACGTTAAACCAGGGTTCAGAGAGAACACCAAAACCACAACTACCGGCAGCACATTAACACTGTCATCCTTTTCTACAATACTTAATAAAATGGTAAAGAAACAAAAGGAAGAAAAACAAAGATGCAATACAAACAACCAAATCATTATACAAACTATAAACAACATCAATACGATACAGCATAACAAACCTAAAACCACACCAATATGAGAATCTTCTTTCTTGAAAGTGCCTAAACCCATATATACACCTCAAAGTAAGCCCAACAAAAAAAAGAAGCAATGCAAAATTTTGAAGCCCAAGTGTCTGTGTCCATATACACTGTTTAATGCTATTCATTCCTACCATATTACGTTCACACATGCATCAACAAACAGTGGGACACCCAAACTGGAAAAAAATGAAAAAAAAAAAAACATTTATAAAGTATTTTTGGCCCAAGAAGATATGGTAAAATAAACTCCATATACCATTAGCAATTATGAGAATTTCTGTTTTCCAATGCTGCGAATAACGCAGCCAAGCAAGTAAAGAAAAAAAAAAAAAAAAAACGACCAACTGGCTGCGATATATGCGGATATACGTGCACAGTCAAAAAAGGCAGTAATGAGCAAGAATGTTTATTATTAGAGGTATATATATATGTGCGTGTGTATAGATGGGACTCATGGGGATGCCAGAGCCACCAGAGCAAAGAAAAGAAGCAAAAGAGGGATTTGGTATGAAGTGGCAATACTGCTGTCAGCACCCACAATAGCAATGGTGGTCGCCTGGTTTATTACTTGTCCCATCTGAGTGTTGTTTAGTCCCGTCAAAGTGGCAGGAGCAGTAGCAGATGCGTTTACATTCTCTGGTATGCTCGATGTTGTTGTGTTAGTTTTGTTGTTGTCAGTATTCACAGTGGTTTCATTCTTGTTCTCATCAACGGTGGCAGGACTGTTTGGGGAATGAGTAGGATCAACTGTGGTATTTATTCCTTCATCGTTCCCATTTTGAGGTTGAGGCTGTGTTGATGTTTCTCGCACTTGTTCAATGCCTTCAGTTGTATTATTCTTATCCTCCTCCTTTATGGAAGAAGGTTGCTCCGAAACAGCAATGGGTTCAGATGCGACAGGCTTGGGGTTCTCAGTGTTGGGCATATTTTCCACTTCAGGCTTCTTCGCGGGTTCACTGGAATTCTTTTCTGGAGGTATAGAAGACGGTTCCTGTGGAAGTGCAGTACTGTTGTTGTTGTTGCCGTTCGGAGCTTTATTCTCCTCCCCAGCAGGTTGTGGCGCAGTAGACGCTGGAGGAGATAAAACCTCACTTTCACCCTCTGCAGGTGCACCACCTTGGTTTCCGGCCTGTGGAGAAGCAACTGGTTGTTTTCCACTGATTTCACCAGCCGAATGCTCCGCTGGCTTTGAATGATTCTCTTTCATCTCACTATCAGGTGGTAATGAAGGACCTTGTATTGAAATTACTTCTTTTTCCTTCTCCACTTTTTGATGTTCTTCCTCCTTTTGATTCCGTTCCGCTTCCGCTTCTACTTTTATGCGTTGTATTTCCTCTTCCTCTTCCGCTTCCCGTCTATCTTCTTCATCCATTAGGCGTTTCTCACCTTCGTCGTATGTAATGTTGAAATCAATGGTGCTACTCAACTCAGTGCAAACTTCAGCGTACGTGGGGCACACGATGCTTCCGCCTGTGAACTCTGTGCCTTCCGTGACTTCAATTTTCCCATTTTTGCATTCATGCCAATTTGTACTCCCCTTATATTGTACCTTAAATGTGTTGTTGTCTTTCTCACACTTCACTTTCGCACAAATGTCACCAACGGTGAGATTATTTTTGTTTTGTTCTTTCAGTGTCAGATTCTCACCTTTCAGACATCGTGATTCCTTTCCCAGATCGCTTCCAGGCATTAGATCCAACTGATCCCTCTCACAACTTGTCTGAGGAATCGCTTTGATTATGGGATAACCATCCATCAGGTCATTATCGGAGTTATAGAGAACTGTGCCAAAATACTTCTGATACTCAAAAGGTATCTCAACCACATCCGACGTCCCCATTGAGCACATTCCAAGTGAAAGACGATCAGAACTGCATTGCAGAGTAGGCTTGACTTCATCGCAGAACATTTTAGGTTTATTCTGTATTATTTCGTCTTTCTTTTCTTTTCCATCCTTCAGAAAATCACAACCAGCATCCTTTCCCCAACTCATCGATTCCGCCATTTTGAACTCGGCCTTGTAGAATGGCATAGAATCAAAAACAGCAAGCGTCAGTGCAGTGTAGAACATTCCATTGCTGCTGCTACTGTACGTACTCATCAACTCATCCTTCGCAATTCGACGTTCCCAGTGTAACGGTGCCCCATCAGTTGCATCATTCTCTAAAGCCATTCCCTTTATTTCACTATCACCCTCAACAATAGGGCAACCATAGTGTTTATTCACTTCCTTAATCACAGTAGGGTATGTCACCCAACTGACTTTCTTTTTCCCCGCCATTTCATTTCCTTCCTTGACATACTCTTTCATCGTTTCAATTTCAAATCCAAGAGCATGTGCAACCTCATGTGCAGCAAAACGAATAAAATGCCTCGTTGCATCTATTTCCTCTGGAACGAATTTAATCAAAGCAGATGTAGGACGACCTTTTTCATTCTTACTGCAAATCTGCACAGGCACAGATGTATCTGTAACACCCACGTACAGCACAAAATCAACGTTGGGTACACCGTGCTCTTGATGCTGTTTAGGAATTGAGACTTTTGCGCACTTGGACGAAAATTCATGCTTGTCTTTTCTCACTATCAAGTTTTCCTCTTCCCGCTTAACACTGAGACGTTCACTGTGTAGTTTGAGAGCAGCAGGAAGAACTTCTCTTAAAAGTGTTCTTTTCTTTCCAGGTGTTACCGTGTTGTGCCCCTCCTCATCGCAAAAATCATCGTTGATTTCCTTAACACCAATTTCAAATCCATATTCTTCCTTATCTTTTTTGGGATCATACTTATCTCCTTCCTGATCTTCATCCAAATCACCGTTAAGATGTTTACAGTACTTCATCACCCTATCAAATTCTTTGGCAGAAACAGCAAAACGAATGGGTTGAAAATTATCTTTCCCACTAACATGATCAGAACCAACTTCAGCAACAGTGTACGTATCCCAGGGACCCTGTCCTCTCTGCGGTAGCGGCTGCACAACAGCTGCAATGCACCCGTAGGCACAACACAGCAAGAGCAGCGCAGTGCACAACAGACAACGCATGTGGATCTTCTTGAATACTT